CACATGTCTTCAGGGCTTTGAAGCTCTGGTCTTTGAAACCCTTTGGAATCTCTTTCTTCAACTCCAGTAGGCACTGTTCAGAGTTTGAGGAACATCATTTTCATGGCAGTACAACCTTTTAATTTCTCTTAATTGTTCCGGATTTTGCAAGATGGCCACCACTAGGTTTTATTTTGATCTGTCAATTTTCAATGATTGTCAATGTTTCTTGGTTTTTTCCTTGGTCCTGGGCACTTGTCACTAGCAGAGCTCCTGTCGACCTTATCAGGTGTGGTATTTATGACTGTTGCAACAGAGAATTGATAGGAGAATATCTGGGAGAAGGGTTAGCCAAGAATTAGTAGAATATTGACAGCTATTATTGGGTGGCTGTCAAAATAACCGTGCTTTCTTTTCTGGCATGTATCATTCCTGGGAATAAAATAATCCAAGAATGATAAGCTCTCAATTGCCATCTGTTGGTTTGTGATGCTGCTTGCCCTGTTCTGCTTAACACTGGACACTGACCTCACTTGGCACTTGGCAAAATTTAAAGGAAGATAAGGTGATCATAGGGTGTAAAGTAAACTGACTGCTTGCAGAGAGATAGGCTAAAGGCCATTGGTGTCACTTTATCAGGATTTGTTTGTCTTACGCTGTCTTTTCCTTCCCTCTTTATCTCAGGGAGCCAGCATCATAGTGTTATTAGTTTCAAGAAGTAACTTTAATAGGGGTGAGAGAGGGTAAGCTTTCAGGGTTGGGGTCATGTGCTGTCTTTTATCTTAATTAAGAAGGTAAAATTTGGGGCCAGAGGTGCAGCTCAGTGATGGAGCATTTTCTAGCATGCATGAGACCCTGGGTTGCATCACCAGTACTGAAAAAACAAATAAAAGAAAGAATGGTAAGATTATGGTTGCTTGGTGATCATGAATGACATTTCATTATCTTTCAAATTACATGCTAAGCATCCAGCTTGTAACATATATATCACATTGTGCCTTTTGGTCTGTATCCCTTTTTAAGATAAACCTCTCCCTGCCAGCTCTGCTATGAATAGGGACAGAGACCCTACCTTCCTGGCTTGGGTTGATTAGACTAAGAGCAGGCTACCTGAACTTTGACAGCCCATCCATCACCTGGATCAATCAACATGGGCTTGACAAGAGCAACTGAGCCATGTGTGTTCCTTTCCTAGGAAATTAGAATTGGGAGTGTAATAGGCTAAATAAGGCAGTTTGCAACAGAAACAGAGCCAAAAGATGATGTGGAGGCAAGCGGTCCTGATGGACTGTATTCAAGCTGGTGCTGTGAGGGTACAGATACCATGAATAAAGAGAAGGAGCTGGGTAGGGAAGTATAGACAGACTATTCTCCATAACCACCACAAACCCAGGAGCAGCAATCCTGTTCTGAGGCACAGCTTTACCCTACCTAGGACATCCATGGAATACCTGTATTCTTAACTACCAGCCTCCCTTTTTCTTGAGTTGGCTTTAATAGGACTGGGTTTTCTTGGAATGAAAAAGACCAACTCTACGCCCCAGCTTTTACCATTGTAGATATCTGGGTTGAGCCAACAACAGTAGTTGGTTAACTGTAAAGGTTAAATTATGTGCTGAAGACTTTTCTAGATATTGTAGGGAAGAGTGGAAAAACACAAGATACCTGATTATTTCTCTGATGCTTGGTGCTGACGCCATGGGCTTCAAGTTCGTGTTCCTGGCAAAACAGTGTGAATGAAAAGAGGCAGGGATCCTGACTGTTCATTTATCACCTCACAGCTCTCAACTAGCAGGGGGTCTTCTTTATCCTATTTAACCTCTCAGCCCAGTATTTGCCTTTCATTTGTTCCCCTTTCCAGTCAAGTCGTGATTATTTATGATTTAGAGAAAAGCATTAATGTGAATAATAGAAGGTTGTTCCACCTTGGCCTCTCTTCCTGGCCACCACAGAGCATCAAGCTCCAGAGATGGAAACAACTAGAAGGAGAGGTAAGGAGGCTGAAACACATTGGGGTGAGGTCAGGCAAATTAACATTGTTCCTTCTCTCATTTTGATTCCTTTCTTCTACTTCCTGTTCCGTGTTCTTTTCCAGGTACCTGTAGGAGACTTCTGTGTTGGTAATGCCAATTTATCTGATAATAGTAAAAGTATAGCATTTGCTTTTTGAAAAAAAACATATTTGGGGACAAGTTGTCTAGAATGCAATTTTCTTTCATCTATTGTATCGCTCCTTCTTATTGACTCGGTTTAATGTTGGGCTCTTAGGAACTATTCTCATTTCAGGATTTGGGGTCAGCTGGGTAAAATATCCACAGTAATGTTTCTCCAAGTGTGGTTCTTGACCCATTTGCCTCATAGTCACTGTGGGCACTTAATTTATTTTTAAAAAAATTTTTTGGCACTTAATTTAAAATGCTGTACCCCAAACCTATTAAACCCAGATATTGGGGAAAAGGGAGAGGAATTGAGGTGGGAATCTGAATTTTAACCCACTCCTCTTGAGGTGATATTTATGTACACTTTATGAATAATTACTATATAGAAGACCTGAGAAGTATTTGGTAGGTAGTTCTGGGAAATTACTAATGTTTCTGGGGCACCCATTATTAGTAGAACAAGTGAGTGGGGTGGGGAGAAAAAGAGGGATGTTCCAAGGTGTTAAAAGGGGTTTTCTAAATGCTCATACATAAGTACTTTTTATTGGAAGGAAGGCAAAGAAGAATAGAGATGCCACCATGCAGAATTAGATGACTCTTAGCATTCACATCTTTGTTGAGTTAATGCCTGGATAATTAAGAGTTGATTGGGCAGGGACATAGGAAAATTTTGTGTATATTAGACTTGGCTTGCATCCATGTTTCTTTCTAAAGAGAACACCCTTTTCTCCATTTTTTGGCATTGTTTTTATTTAGAGTGAAAATAGCCAGTCATCCCTAACATATTTGGGGTTTTGTGGTAATTTAAGTCTGTAACAGGCACTGTATAATGTCATTCAATGGTTGTACCTAAATATAACCCTACTAATTAAAATGGGGATATTGTGTTTATTTTAAGAGATTGGTTATAGTGTTCTGTCTTTTTTCCAAACACTGTCTCTATGGATTAAAGCAAGATCCTGTGTTTCATTGCTTTCCAGGCATTCCCAACAACTGTTGAATGGATTTTGTTCCAAAAGTTTCTTTGGAAGTCTATTTAGAATTCAGATTGCATTTTCCCATGGACACAATATTCTGCTTGTGGGTCAGGTTCCCAGAGCAGCTGGCAAAAGTCTATTTAATCAGAAGTGGATAAGAAGGGATAGTCCTGTAGCTCCTAACCAGAATTCCTGAAAGTAATTTTAATGGGGTAAAGCATCAGGGTGTAGACCTGTGATCTTAGGCTACATCCCAGCTTTATTCTCTGACCACAATTATAGGGATTTACTCTGGGAGAGAGCAATTAAGACTTCTTCACAAGATCCCCTAGGCTTTGTGTGGTCTGTTTTCTGCTCACTTCTCCAGTATCACTTCTTACCATATTTCCTTTGGCACTCTGGCTTATCCAGGCAGAAGGAACTACTTTGTGTTCCATGAATGTGCCTTTGTAACCTCTAGACCATTTAAGCCTGTACCCATGTTTTCTTCTTTGCCTGGAACTTTCTCCCCCCATCCTACAGCCCCCCGTAACTAGCATCTGTGTTTTAGGCTTTCAAAACTCTGGTCACAGATTTTGCTATAGTGTGATTTAGATGCTTTATGTCATTTCTCCTAGACTGAACACTCCAAAAAAAGGGGGGGGGGCAAAGATGTCTCCTTTACCTGTTGCAGGTATTCCCAGCACTTAGCATAAACTATATGGTAGGTGAATGAGTGATCTAGTCCAGGGGTTCTCAACCTTTTTTTGTAGCTGCTGCAGACATGATGGATGATCTTTATGTGCTCAGTTGACTAAGCTGAGTTCTGCATCAATAAGAAGATAATATTTAAGTTATGCAGAATTTCTAACTGATAGATCTGTAATTCAAGCCTTTTCTCTCTGACTCCCAAAGACATAGCAATGCAAGTGAGAAAGGGTATCATTGTCATGCAAATGAATATATATGCAAATAAACTGCAAACCTTAGGACTTTATTATTTACAATACATTAACTTGTGTCATTTCTCACCTGATTAAATATAACCAAGATCTGCTGAACCATGCTGAGAACTCCCAATCTGGTGTAACCCTCTTCTTTCTCAGATGTGGTCTCTGAAATTTCAAGAGGGCAGAGTTGGTTTTTTTTTTTTTTTTTGCTTTTGTTTTTGTTTTGTTTTATCTTTTTGTTCAAGTCCATACTTCAGTTAGCAGCTCTTTGGGGGTTATAATAACCTAGGGCTTCTGACTCCAGACAATTGCATTTCCTTCAAGAGCCATACATTCCATAATTCAAGTCTAAATACATTGGAACAACTTATTCTTCTGTGGGTATTTGAGACTGTCTCAAATCACTTGACCAAGGCCACTACTGGTGGAATACAGGGGACAACAGGAGAATGAAGTAATGCATAAAGTGCCTTCTGTAATTTAGGTTTTGTTCATTTAATGCTGGGCCTGGAGGAGAGCTAAAGGAGTATAGCTTACCCAAGGCACTGCTTATAGAATTTACACATGACAGATGGCTTTTCATTATTCTAGGATTTCACATGTGTAGAGTGTAGAACATAACTGAATGCTCAGTGGGTATTTCTTGATTGTGCAATTTGCTAAAATCCCTCTGCTAGTATGTTAGTAACACTGTTCTAAATTTTCTAAACCATTTGGCATTTAATAAGCATGTGGTTTGATAAATGGTGTTATTATTCATTTAAGTAGTGGCAGTAGTTTTATGCAGTTCTGGCAGGGCTAGGAGGAGGCTTTAGATCATTTGGTTTGTAGCCTGGCCTTGCTATTGAAAATTACACATGATAGGTTAAGTATGCCTAATCCAAAAATATGAAATGTTTTGAAATCCATAATTTTCTGAAGGCTGACTTGATCCTCAAAAAGTTTGACATTTAGTACTTTTTTTTGCAACATGTGTACCCAAATTGGAACAATACAAAGAAGATTATCATGGCCAATATATAAGGATGGCACAGAAACTAATGAAGTGTTCCATTTTTGAAATATATTTTCTAAAGAACTAGAAGAGAGGGGTTTGAGGTATACTAAGAGAAAGAGATAATAATATCTGAGAAGATGGACATGTTAATTACCCTGATTTGACCATTACATATTGGTTACATGTATAGAATTATCAGTACCCTATAAATATATACAATTAGAATAATTTTGAATGGGGAAAAATGACTGTATAACACCAGGAAAAAGTTGCAGATTATGGAGAATTTTGAAATTCTGCTTTTGAATTTTCAAATTAGGAATGCTCAAGCAGTAAAGTTCATACAGTTATTCCAAAATTTGAAAAACTTAAATCTGAAACACTTTCTAGTGCACAGCATTTTGCATGTAGTGTATCCATCCTGGACCTTGAATACCTATTGCCTTCTCATTGTGGTTCTTGGGGAGTTTTCTCCTGCTCAGAATAGACTCTGCAAGAACAGTGATTTACATATAGCCTAATGGATCACCTTAGAGTTAAAAGGCATTCAGGAGAAAGACCCATGTGATGAGAGGAAACATCAATAGATCAAGAAGAAGGAGAAAGTGCTTTTCTGGGTGTAAGCCTGGGACTGATGAGGATTGGGTTCTTGTGGTAGGTTTGTGGCTGGCCGAGGGGATGGCGTAGCTCTCATTACTCCACCTGGCTTCTAGTAGGATATGCTCCAAGACTCTCACCTCAGGCTGTTTTTTTCTTTTGTATTGAAGAAAACACTTTGCAGGTGACTAATTTAAAAGATCATAAGCACAAAGTGAACCTGAAAGGCTTGTGAGAACAAGCACTCTCCTACCAGGCCATGTAAAGTTCTCAGAGGCAACATTATCATTATACCTCTTTTTTAAAAAATGAGAGAGAGAGAGAGAGAGAGAGAGAGAGAGAGAGAGAGAGAGAGTTGTAGATGGACACAATATCTTTATTTTGTTTATTTATTTTTTTGTGGTGTTGAGGATCGAACCCAGTGCCTCAAATGTGTGAGGCAAGTGCTCTACTACTGAGCTACAACCCCAGCCCCTCGTTACACCTCTTTAGGGTAATATATATCTTTGTATTCCTTCAAGCCACCAATGGTTTGCTCCATCATAGATCTGCTTGTAATATCCCTTCTTTAATGTCACTCTGAATAAACTTCCATCTGTCTGGGCTAAGGGAACAGTGTCAGTGTAACAGGGCTGTTCCCGAATTCATGCATTTCCTTACCCCTTGTGACAGCCAAACCACCAAACTCTGGGCCATTTGCATCTGTTTCAATTTGTCTTCATAACATGTGGCAAAATGTGTTATGGTGTTAGGTACAATTTGAAACTTCCTGGAGTGAAGCAAATCTGAAAAATGCTATAATTTGAAGCAGTTTTCAGAAAAGAGCCCCTTCTGATACAAAGGCTCCTTTTTCCTTTCCTTTCCTTTCCTTTCTTCTTTCTTTCTTTTTTTGTCCATTTATGCCTCATCACATTTTGTCCAATTTGAGCTCATTGCTCACTGAATTTTCCTTTTGATGTCTGCTTTCTAGAATAGTCCCTGCCTAGTAAAAAAAAAGAAAAGAAAGAAAAAGGCTAACTCCGATGCTTTCAATTTGCAGCATCCCCAGCCCTTTCATCCATCTCGGAGCTTCCCTGGTTGGGAACAAGACCCAAGCTCCAGGGTCAGAGCACAGATGAGGAAGAACCCTTTTTAAAAATCCAAGCACATGCGGATTTCATGTTTCATTGTCATCCCGCTTTGCAATTGGGTCAGGTACATGTGGGGGAAGAGAGAGCAGGCTTGGAAGAAAAAAAAATGTGTTTGCAACCTCCCCCCAAAGCAAACATTCCCATTTTTTCATAGATTCCATTGAGAAGAAATCAGGTTTTTAAAGATTTAGTTTGCTAATTTCGAGTTGCTTTCAGCTTGTAGGGCATCTATGTCAAGATACCCAGTTTGAGAGCTGAAGCAGGAATTTGATGTGCTAACATTTCATTTTTCAGTGACTGCTTGCAGAACTCTATACTTTTTCCTCTGGCTTCAAATCATAGAAGACCTATCTCTTTTGTGCTCCCAGCTTGTTGTCTTGGTTACAGACTTCGTTGGCCTGCCTTTCTTTGGGGGAATATACTGTTTAAAGAAGAATTTTAAAAATAGTGACTTGAGGCCTCTTTCTCTAAGGGTATGGGGTATTAAGCAGTGCGTGGAACAGCAATTTGGAAACCTGGTTATACATTCAAATCACCTGGGGTTCTTTGAAATACTGAGGCCTCAAGCCCGAGTAGATGAGTAAGGATTTTGAGGCATGAGTCTCAGGATTTGGTATTTTTTTTAATAAATAAACTCCCTAGGTGCATTCAGGATTTAGAGTCACTGAGTTTTACAGCAAAGCTAAGTAGCTGGGTTCTGGGCTATTTGAGACAGGTAGGGGAAATATGAAAACCTTTTCCATACCTTAGTTTTACCTGCCCATAAAGCTTGGCAATGTAAAGAGGCTCAGTGTGATGATCCCTGTCATTACTGGTGCGTACAAAAGAGTTGCCTTCTCTTCAGAAAATATCTAGTTCCCCAGCTGGCATGGCATCTGGGCTGTAACAGTGGCTTGAGGCAGTGTCAGGGATTAAAATAAATCTTTCCAGTTGCTTGAAGAAGGATTATCTGTGTGGAGCAATAGCAGTTCCTCTCTCCCCTGCATAGTTTGTTCAGAACTTTCCAGAGTTTTGAACCCTCTCCAACTTTCAGCCAACTTCCTTCTCATGTCCTAGGTGATCAGTAAAATCAAACTCTGGGTTTTGGAGGGTGAAGCTGCCTTTTAATGGTGCTTTTCTAACATAAAGGCAGTACGTGCTCATTATCCAAAAATGAAAACATTATAGGAATATGACCCATAGCAAATAAAAATCCCCTTATGCTGCTCTCCCAGAGGTAACCACTGGAAGTTGTTTCCCCCCAAGATTTTTTCCCCAGCAAATGCTAAACATTTCATATTTTATGCTGAAAATGAGATATCTATCGGTGTGTACTTTTTAAAATTGGTGCACTATATGCTTTTTTCCTTGATAATCATCTTTTCCATGTTAGCATGTACATATCAACTTCATTCTTAAGAATCCCTCAGTTTTTAGGATTTTAATCACACGTGGGCACCATCCCCTTCCCCTTCCCTCCAGTAATTCACTTTCTTTTTTTTTTTTAGAGAGAGAGAGAGAGAGAGAGAGAATTTTTTAATATTTATTGTTTTTAGTTTTCGGCGGACACAACATCTTTGTTTGTATGTAGTGCTGAGGATCGAACCCGGGCCACATGCATGCCAGGCGAGCACGCTACCGCTTGAGCCACATCCACAGCCCTCCAGTAATTCACTTTCTTATGAAAAGTCTCTAATTTTGCTTGTTTCAGCTTCAAATAGAGCAGACCCATCTTATTGGGTCTATTTATATTTGATTGTTTATATTTTATAAACAATGTGAAAGGAAGAGTGGCATGTATGATTCCCTCTGACCCCTAATCCCAAGTCTACTAGTTCTTCTCCCTGTAAATCACCGTTACCAGTTTCTTGAAAATTGTGAGTGGTACCCTGTGGATAAATAAAGCAGCTCCTTTAAAGTGCTTTTTGTTAGGTAACCAAGTATATCCATGCAGCATATAGATACCTGTGTGTCTCATTTGTTCATTCAGCAAGTGTCCTGTATGTTCCAGTGACTGTGTTAGATTCTGGACCAACAGTGAGGAGCAGCACTCAGCCACATGCTCCAGGAGCTTACAGTCAGTGGGGAAGATCAACATTTAACAAAAACACAGCTACATATAAATGAGAACTGGTGGTGCATGCTGTGAAAGAAAAGAACAGAGTTTACCTGCTGCTTTTCCAAATTAGTAAATGGCAGAATCTCCTTCCCTAATTTTTTAATACAGAGGTGTGGATGGGAGATCAGCCACGAAGACCCAGAAGCAAAGATTTTTCTCTTGCCAGAAGTTTTCACTGTTTTGTTCCCCACCAGATTTTCATCTTACAAAATGGCCTGTGGAGAGATAGGGTAAGTTGCTTCCCACCTTCATCATTGTTGATCGCGTACTCCAGATGGTGAGCTGCATGAAGACAGGAATTGTATCCTGCATTTCTGTGTGTACCTAGAACCCTGTAAGAATTAACTGATGCAGGTACTGTGTAGTAGCTGCGTTTTGGGCAGTCTCATTTTATACCTTAGCAGCTCTGCAAGTAGCATGCATTCATATTCCTGTTTTAAAAGATTTTGAAAAGACTGAGCCCTAAACAGATGTAAAAAAACCTGTCTTCTTTCAAAGTACACCTATCCCATGCCATTCCTCACCCATTCTCAGAATGCTCACCAATTTTGATCATAGTTATACAGCTAGCTGATCTGTGCCAGATGCCTGCAAACATTAGCTGGCCCACGTGGCTATGACCCTGACACAGTTGGTGGCCTTCCTGCAGGGAACTGGATACCATCCCGCCCTCTCACGAGTTGGTGTAGGCTCTGTTACTTCAGAGTTTTCATGAAGAGTTTCAAGGCAACCAGGTCATCCTGTTCTAAATATTTTTCTGGGATGGAGGTCAAGGCAGCAGCATGATCCTCTCTTAAATGGGTCAGAGGAAGAGGACTCCTGTGGCTCCCCAAAAGCTCAAGTCTTTTCATGCTTACTGTGTCCTCTTCCCTTCTCTTCCAGCTTGTTTCCTGGGTGGGGCTCTGGCCAGGGAGCAGGGGCACACTGGCCCGTGTGTCCTGGAGAGCTTTTCTGTGTCAGACACCACAGTAGGCACTATGGGAGGGGTGGAGAGAGGGAACTCAGCAAATGACAAATTATCCTATAGTGAAGAAGAGGTAGTACTGTCTGTAAACATGATCATTAGAATCACAGTTCTGGCTTACTTATTTGTGTGGAACCAAGGCCAAGTTATTTAACCTTTGTATAGCTCACTTTCTGCATTTGTAAATTATAGTGATACTATCACTTACATGATAGTATTTGTATGGGAAATATATGAAACAACACATACAAGATGCTGACTGCAGTGCTCGGCC